TTCTTTCAATCTGAAGCGTTTATTTTATGGAGTAATATTGAATTTATCACTAAAAACGTTTGCTAATATTGGCTATAATAATGATGATATACTCACATTTCCTTTGAAATTCGGCCCACCAGCGGCCGAGCGGTAAAGTCCCTGAACACTGGTAGTTCAGCCCAAAGTTCGAAGTATGATACCATAAAATTCAATTCAACAGCAATATAGCAGAATAATTTTAAAACGAGCATATCCTTTAGAATTTCCGATACACAATCTCGCGTTTTGGATGAAAATATTTTTCCTTTCGTGCAGTGTTACCATTCCTCGCTTTGAAATCGTTGAGTTTGCTAGTAAAAAATTCTTTAATGTCGGACAAAATATGAAATCGATAACAAACCAAATTCCAAATTAGGGCGCCCACCAGCGGCCGAGCGGTAAAATCGCTGAACACTGGTAGTTCGGTCCGAGGTTCGAATCCCGCGAACGGGCTGGCGGCATGGGCGTTTTCGTGGTTTTCCCCATGTGTAACGTGTATACGAGCCAGTTTCCCTTAGAAAGTCCACCACGAAGACATCCCTACCCTTAGGCAGATAGCCCTAGTGTGCCTTTTCGTAATTAAATCAACCAATCCTTTGTAATGCGGATTCCACAGGGGAATCTCTACCACTATGCAACTAGTAAGGATTGCCGAGTTTTTCAGTTCTGTAATACATAAGCACCAAACCACCGCGTTCCTTATGCTGGACGTGGCTAAAGCTTTTGACCGCGTCTGGCATAATGGACTCATCTTTAAACTCCCCGCTCTCTCGATGTCACCCGAGAGTGAGTATTGATGATCCATTCCTCTATCAGTCACAGAAAGTTCGCAATCAGACAGGGTCAACCTTATTCCACTCCAAGAAACATTGCTGCGGGAGTTCCTCAAGGATCTAATCTAGGACCTTTGTTTTACTTAATTTATGCCATGGACTTCCCGATGTTTGACAGCAATACTAATTGCATCACCGCCTGCTACGCTGACGACACTGCTATTCTGTCTTCTTCACTCAACCCCACTCATGCAATAACTCGCATTCAGAGCCGGATGCATGAAATCGAACATTGGTGCTGTAAGTGGAGAACTCGTATTAACGCAACTAAATCCAAACTCGTAAAACTCAACTAAAGCCAAAATCTAAATCTGTTCATACGTCGTCACCAGCAAGAAAACTGTGGATGTTGACATGACATTATTTAATGAAAAAGTGCCTAAAGTCACATTCAAATCCACGCTTACCTGGCACCCTCACGTCACGACAGCCATAGGCAAAGCAACAGGTGTGGCAAGAAAACTTAACAACGTTATTATCTCAACATCCACGCTTGATCTCGCCAGGAAACGAAGGATCTGCATCTCCATCTTACGCCCGATTCTTACTTATGCATCCCCAGCTTGGTGCGGGGCTTCAAAATCTGACTATATCAAACTTCAGACTTTTCAAAATAACTTTCTTAGAAAAATAACGGGTGCTCCATGCTTCATTAGAAACACTGACCCATACAAAGACCTAAAACTAGATGGCATCAAAACTTACATTGGGAAAATAAATAATAACTTTTACACCAAGGCCACCAACACTAACATTGTTAAGTATGCAGATAATTTCAGGTACGAACCCCTGGAAGAACACTTAAATCTTCGCCCGTATGCTACTCATCTTTTTACAGAGGCTGTTCGCACATTTTTTAGACGATTTTGGTAAGCAGGAAATAAAAAATCGTTTGCTGCAAAAGAAGTGATTGCAATTGTACTATGTTTTTAAAAGTCAAAATTATCGTCTGTGGCTTGAAAGTTTTGTTTCTATTCAAAATGGCGAGTTTAACACAGCAGTGGTTCGAAGGCTACATTGACGCTCTTTCCGAAGAGAAATATGCATACTCCGTTATCCAAAAACAATGTGAGAGTCATGGTTGTGTGATATCTAAAGCGTCGATAGGTAATATCATCAACAAGAAAGGGGAAAAAACATCAAATTGGAGCCTCAAGTGGGACAAAAATTCCAAACAAGTATCCAAGGAAAAAACGGACATCTCCGACTATTGCAAAGGTACGTTGTTTAGTGTTAAAAGAAAATCCCCCTAGTCAAAGGACAGTTGCAAAATCATTAACATTTTGTTTACGGTGTCCACCGTAAACAAAATGATAAATGTTGATTTAAATCTTAAGGAAGCGAAAAAACGCAATGTGCATCGTCTTTTTCCAAAGCATATCGCTCCACGCAGGACACGCTGCAGAATTCTATATGAGAAACCCTTATCCAAAGAAAAATGGAAAACAATTGTCACAATAGATGAAGCATGGGTGTATTTAAATGATTAACAAAAAAGAGCCATTTATTATCATAAAAGGGGAGAAAAAATTTAAGTACATGGTTCAAAGAATCGAAAGAAAGTTTTCCTAAGGGATTCATGACTGTTGCTGGTTTTTCTTATAATGGCAAGTTAAAAATAAAGAGAATGCAAAACAATGTCAAGATTAACTCCAAATACTATCAGGAACATATTTTATCGCCAATTTTTCTGAATGAAATACCATCGCTTTACCCACAGTGCCATCGATCTGTGAGACTCCATGAGGACAAAGCTATCAGTCACACATCAAAATCCACTGTAAATTTCCTAAAAGAAATGGAACAAAAAAACTGGTATCAAGGCCATACCCCTCACTGACATCCCTACTAAATCTCCCGATGTGTCACCTATGGATTTTTGTGCTTTCGGACTTTTAAAAACTGCATTATACAAACGTTGTCCCAAAATCCTAACAGGATTCTAGAAAGCTGTTCGGGAGGAATGGGATAGAATATCTCTTCTGCCACTTCAAAAGGCATTATTATCCTGGAAATTGCGGTGTGGATAGATAGTTCAGAATAAGGGATGTTAAATACAACATTTAAAACACAAGAATTTTGTGCAATTTAGTTTTGTGAATACAATACACATCGTCTAAAAAATGTGTGAACAGCCTCTGTACATACAAAATCTAAATAATTGACATATTCCTTTCCACTATTGCACATTTATTTTATTTTCTCACAGTTTCAATTCACACAGGCATGGGCCAAATTACTTCTAATTTCCCTTACAGAGTTTACCACTCGAATGTGGTAAACTCTGTAAGGGAAATTAGAAGTAATTAACGAATTCATGCGAGGTTTTTGCCCTACCCAAGGATAAATGAGGTACTGGTAACAGCGCGATGGATATCGCTCTGAGGCCAACTGACAGGTATCAAAGTATCATTTCCTTCGTAAATTAATTATTGATTAATAAATATTTCAGCAAAACTGTTTCAAAGCAAATTAAGTATTCAAAATTGATTTTCACCAATCCCCCCCGGGGGCCCTCAAAAAATTAAAAATGTGCAGAGATAAAATGACTGCTAGGCGATTACCACTCACGATATAATTTGTGTTGTTTTTCAGGAAATGGTAACAATTATTAACATAACTCTGGAAAATTTTCAAATCCCTTTATACTTTAAAATATAATTTAATAGTTATTACATAAGGCAGTACAAACATTTGATTAATAATATTTGTCTGAATATAAAAATGAAATAAAAAATCTGAAAGCTTCCAGATTTTACATTACGCCAAAAGGGGCGTTTTTTAAAAATATTTTGTGTGCTACCTTTATTTATTAAACTTCATGTCCTTCGCACTTAAACCATAAAATTCAATTCCACAGCAATGTCGCAAAATAATTTTCAAAAGAGCTTATCTTTAGAATTTCCGATACACAGTCTCGCGCGCAAAAAAACAATTTTTTTTCCCCGAACAGTGTTGCCATCGCTCGCTTTGAAATCGTCGAGTTTCTTAATCGAAAATTCATTGTACGAAATATGGAGTAGATAATAAAACAAATTCCAAACTTGGGCTTCCAGATGCTCATATTCTGGTGAAGGATTACGTTATTTAAAATTGGATGGCTCTAAATACCATTGTTTTATCACAATGCGAGAGAAAAGGGGTTCTTCTCTCTGTTTCATTATAGTTCACAGACATTTGAGTACGAGTTTGATTATAGTTCATAGACATTGCATTGTAAACGATCAGTAGCAATACAAGAGAAGAGACGGGGGAGGACTTTTTCCGAAATACAAGTTTTCAACGAGTTCTTCGCAGACGATAATGCAAAGTATGCGGGAGATTGTTGACACAATGGCGAACGTAACATCGCAGGAGTAATTTGCATAACTTCACATTTTATGGCATCTTTCAGTTATGACAAATCTCATAGATTTGATGTGTACGCCTACCTTATTTCAGATAAACCCAGAAACAAAAATCCATCAGAGTAAGATCGGAGGATTCCGATGGCCACGAAATTGCAAATTTTACGGGAGATGATTTTATCTTCTTGAAACACCGTACACACTGAAAACTTTCAATTTCAATAAAAGGTTCCCCCTCCGGTCCTCTCTTGTGTTGTCATCGCTCATTTACAATGGTCTCCTTTGCAAATATTTGTGATAGGTGTATCGTTCCAATGCCATTTATGGTTTTTCGATACGAAGTCACACTTTTTTTTCTTTCATCGAAGCGATCAACCCCTCCATGATATTGTTAATTAATATATATATATATATATAAAATATTCTCTATTCGTATAAAGCAATATAAAAAAAATAAAATTTTAATTAAAATTTTAAGGCAAAGAAATAAAAATAATTATCACTGCTAACTAATTTACAAAATATTTAACTAAGAACATTTAAATTGGGCATTTCTAAAACCTGAAAAAAATATATTATCCCAAAAAATTAAATTTATTATTCCTAAAAATTGCATAAGTGAATAATTGTTGAGCAGGCAGGAGACAGACTTATTCAATGAAATAACAATGTCTGAATTTTCATTTTAATTGGTTTAGCGGATAAGCTACTAAAGGTTCATATAATTTGGGAAGTTCTTTTATGGCCCGTTAGACATAAAATTTCATACTGAAAACCCTCCCAAATACAAGAATCTTACCTGCCTCATGGTGGAACACAATTCGTGATAAACTCACCTGCAAAAGAAAAAAAAAACCATTAGTAATCCTTTATATAAAAATAATTCATAACAAAATATATAATTAGACTTGCGAGCTACCAGCCAAAGCAAAGAAGCGAGTGTATAAAACATTTCTTTTGCGAAAGAAACTGGAAATGGTGCTTCAACAAGGATGTTTGGTGTTGGTGAGAGGTGGAACGAATAACGATTATTTATTTATGGATCAAAATAACAAGGATGTGTGAAGATGAAACAAAATTTTATGACACGCCTGAAGGTATAACGGAAGACGAATTCTTCATGTTATTCGATATTGAAAAATGTTTAATTTCATAAGGCATGTCATTTTTTTAAAATAAGCAGCATATCGGTACATGTAACAATCTAATTTTTTCCTTATTTTTAAGTTATTATTTTTATATCTGGAATATAATGCACACTCGTAAATTTCGGTTTACTTCCTTGTACGAAGTAAAAAGGAAGTATTGTAATCGCGAAAAGTTTTAGGCAGCATATTTCAACGAAAATATCCATTTTGACCGCCATCGAATGCAATTTAACGATGTTTTTGCGTGATCTGACGTAAGGACAGAATAAAAAGACTCTTTTCCTCCAAAAAATTATAAAAAACTGCTTTAAATAATTCTGAAGAGAATTTTTCCTGGTCTGTACGTATTTACGTACCGCGTACGTACGTATCTCGCATAACTCAAAAACGAGTAGCCTCAGAACGTTGAAATTTTGCATATAGGACTGCTATAACGTGTAGATGTGCATCCTCGTATTTTGGTTGCAATCGCCGCACCAAACGTATATAAATATATTTATATATATATCCCTCTGTTACCCGGCTCAGTGATCTCAATTTCTTACTCTTATATGTTTTGTCAATTGTACATGTTTTGCTTTAAAATGATTGAATTATGTTGTTTTATCTTCCGGTTAAGGATTTTAAATTGCCTTTGGTAAATCTGGTGCAATAAGTTTAGAATTATCACCAATTTTAAAGTTGTTTAATATTGCCGCTAAGCCTGTTTTAATGCCCGGCCATTGATTTACATTGAAACAGAGACTAGTGGATTTGTTGCCAGTCTAGAGAAGTAAGCTTCGCAACAACAAAGATAACGCATTCATTTATTATGCAATTAATCATGCTTAATTTCTTTCTGGAATTTTTTCGAGGAAATAAGTGTTTGAGATTTACTTCGTAATTTTTATAGAGATATTTGAGTTTTATGACTTTTTGCCTTCTCGCGAAGTGAGAACTGAATTATTGAATGAGAAATACTCAATCGTCTGTGAAAAACTTTCTTTTTTTGTTTTATTTGCTTAATTTCTTTATACATCGTTCTAGCTTTATTATAGTATTTGAAAAACATGTGGCACGATTAGATAATTCTATCTTTAAATGATATAAATTTTGTGCATTATGATTATATATGAACGAAATATATAAGTTTGCTATAAATTATGGATTACATAACAGTAAGTTTCCGTTATATAATTATTATATAAGTTAACTGTTATATAATTATTAATACTGTTTAGTGAATCTGCGCCCGAGTGTCGCTATGGGTAAAAAATCTAGAGTGAATTTTAAAGAATGCATTATTCTATTGTGGTTTTATGCGCTGTCGGCGAAGTACATTTATTAAAATCCAATACGTTTAAATGAAATGCAAGAAAAACTGTGTATAATTTAATATTCCAATACAAGGAAGTCATGTGGTGTACACATCAGATTTTTTTTTATTTTAAAAGTGAGCATTATACTAAGGAATATGCGGTACTTATGTTAAAAGTTATATCGTGCGAACTCCATTAATTCGAAAATTGAAAGTTAAAACTGTCACGACGATCTCCTCGAAAGAAAATGTTGCGTGAAATAAATACGACGCACCTGATAATTAATTAAAATCGTAATTGCTATTGGATGCAGCGAACTGCTTGTTTGGTGCCATAGCTTGGCTCATTCCCACACAGAGGCAAGAGTTTAAAAAGATCACAAAATCGTGTTTCGTGAAATACGTACGAACAACGTGGCTCGTTTTTGGATTATTCAATATAAACTAACACGTTTAACTTCTGAAAACAAGCTAGACATCATGCTTCCTTTTCTTATTTAAAATAACTCTCGACTAGCCCGATTTCTACCTATAATATTTTCTGACATAGCATATATTATGATTTACTAAAGACGTCAAAAGTATCCAATTCCATAACATAAATTAAAATAGTAGTTCAATCTAACTTCAAAGTTTTCAAAGATTTAACATTTTTAAGACTTCTTTTTTAAATAGTACATAAGACTGAAAATTACGCAAATTAATTTGAAGTATATTTTAAAAAAATCCATCGTATTTTATATTACAGCTTGAAACGCATTGTATTTGTGATAATTATTGATATAAAGCTTTAAAAATGTTTTCGTTTTGCCTCCAAAAAGACATCCTTACTTAGAAATAACCAGAATAATCTTGTTATTTCATCTTTCTGTCGGTTACAAAACTGCCCATAATCTCAAGAAATTCAACTCTCGGGTCAATTTTTCAGCCGTCGAAAAAATCTGCTGTTTGGTTATTAAAGATGGCAATACCGAGTTTAATTCGTGGGGAATTTATAGCGTATCTTGTCAGTGTGGTTCGAAGTATATCAATCAAACTATAACAGCGTTAAAATGTGTCGCCAAGGAACACTGATCTTACGCCGGGAAAGGAGAAATAAAACATTTCTCGATAGATAATCACAGTTGGGCACTTAAGCATAATTTTGATTTTGGTTTTGCAAAAATTATCATCAAAGCGTCTTTAGTTTGTGAGCTACTTTTCCTAGAACTTCCTAACGGTTTCCCAAATACAATATATTAATGTTTATGTTTCATTGCTATTTTTCTCGACTTTGTACTACGTTCTTTTTTACTCTGCTCCACCCACTATTTTCGATATGAAATGGTTGTCGCTTCTTCCATTTTTTCTAAATGAATTTTGCTCCTGCAGAAAAGGAACTGTGCTAAATTACTCTCGAAATCGATAGATTTTCATTCAAAATCTACAGAAGACTAAGGTCGGTTTCTGGCTAATTTAAAATTTTATACTGGTGTGTTTCTCTTACACCAAGATTTTAGAGAAAATGTTTTAGTGGAAAAAAACTTGAAAATAAGTAACGAAAAACCTATCATCATTCCTTCTTTATCATTAATTTTTTATAGACACATCCAATATATATACATATAATTGCATGTAAATAATTATTGCATTTCTCTACTTTATCTTACAGCTTGAAACGCACTGTATTTTGAGTTTGGTAACATTATTGTATTTTGAGTTTGATAACATTTGTAGCCTTGCTAAAGAATTACTAGAAACTGTAAGCTGAAGAGGGCGCACTTTATTATGCAGTACAGAGAATTGCAGCATTAACATAATTCTATTTTTGCATACATCCTAGCTGTTGCCGTTCACAAGTTACTAAATAATAAATGTTAAATATTGCCATTTAAAATTACTATATACTAAATGTTACATCTTCCTTTTTTAAACCGAATAGGTTATTAAACTCAAAACAGACAGAATTTTGTGTCGTCCACTATGAACGGCGAATCACTTTACAAATCGTTGCCACCAACTATTATCATCCTGTATTATTTATAAAGAAATTAAATAATGAAGTATACATGTATGTATGTTCCTCGCATTGTGGAAAAACGACGGTACCTAGAGCCGAGTTTTCCACCCGGACACCTGGCAGTACGAATTTTTTTAATTTCGAATTTTATATTTCCTATTTTGTGAAACTTTAATGGATTTTCGATTAACAAACTTGACAATTTGGAAGCGAGCAGTGTGAAAACTGCACAGAATGACATAAATTTACCTCCAGCTTGCAAGACTGTGTCGGAAATTCTAAAGATATGTTGTTTTTAAATATTTTATGATTTTGCTGTTGAATCGAATTGTATACAGGCTAAATGCAAAGAACATGATATTTAATCAATTTAACCCACAAAACATTAGTAAAAACACACACACACACATAAAAAAAGAGTTTTGCAAGGCCTTTTGCTAAGAAAACCGAACTTTCTCGGTATGAGAAACCGAGAAAAGACTGAAAATAATATAAAAACGTATGCCAACACTTAACACTGTATCGGGAGTTCTAAACGTATGCTGATTTAAATATTTTTGCCATTTTTATCGAAATGCATGTGGCACATGTGGAAAGAAAACGATGCTTAATAATGAAGCTAAAAAAAAAAAAAAAAAAAGGCTGGGCGAGTAGGAGTGAGCGTAACAGCAGCAGACTGGTAGACCTTAACAATCTCTTTTGGGTGACTGTTAAAATCTGCGGCTTTTCAGTTTTTCTTCCCTTTATATTTTAGTATTTTTCTGGTGTAAGTAATATATATATATATATATATATTATGATAATTAAATCCCTTTCTCTCATTTCGGAATATAAAAACACCCGTTTATAAGACCCTACCAAATGTTAGAACAAAACTTATTTTCGAGAAAATACTGCATCAACTGGCACTGCAAATACTTAAGCAAAAACATTCTTTAGTTTATAAGACCAGTCATTCCAAAATTCCCATACTGGAAGCGAATACTCATCTAAATTGAACGCAATGCAAAGAATCATTAGATAATTTCAACGGAAAAATAATATTTCCAGAAGTAGTTTGAAAACTTTAAAAAGAAGAGAGAAAATGAAAGAAAAAAAAGGATGATAAGGAGAACTGCAATCTTCCAAGATGGGGGAAAAGAAATTGCATTGCCAAGATATAATAGAAAAAGATAACGTTGAACAACATCCGGAAAAGAAAGCCGTTTAGAATGAGTGATGTCGAGGTTATCACGATACGCGCGCCCCCTCACCGAACATGAGGACACTCGAGGGTTCCGGACGACGGAGCACGACTGCTCTTATCGATTGCAAGATAAAATGAAAAGTGTCGCTAAAGGGGTGGCTGATGGAACGTGTAAGGGGAGGATTTGATTGTTCGAGTGCATACAGTTTAGAAGTTTCGTGCTAACTAG